TTAAAGAAAAGTAATGAAATAAAAATGAGTACTAAGGTAAGGTTGGAAAACAACTTTGTCCATTTTCATTTCATGGCAGGGCCCATCATTAATTCTTTTTATTATGTAAAGATAATTTATAACAACAAAATAATACTTAAATGGTTATTATTCTAATCTTTTCAATGAAACGATTAGTAAGGATTCATTTGATTCACATACTAATTATGTAAGATTATAATGCATAAATTATTTGTATAATGAATAGCAATAAAATAATTGGTGTACGATAAATAAAGGCCCTATAAATAAATAATGTAGGAATTGTCATCGTAAATATAACACATGTAATGTTACAGAGGAGTTACCTACTTTTTGATATTTTTGTCTTTAGGTGCTTTTTATTTTCATATTGCTAATACAATTATACTTATTTTACATTTCATGTCACATAAAATAATATATTGTTCCTAGTACAATTTAGTTTCTTATGTCTTTATCTTGTCATTTTTAATTTAGAAAAACACATTTTTTCACGGCAAATCATCAAATTTCCAAGAGTCTCTCAATCTGAAATAGAGTACTATGCACAAAATGCAAGTTGGATTTTCAAGTTTCAACGGCAAAGTCTTCAAATAATGCAAAGTTCGGATTTTCAGACCTAACAGTTATGTCAAAAACAGGTACGAATAATTGTTACCACGTTGACTACGCATCAATTAATTGGTCGCAATAAAATCAAAATTCGAGTTATATAATCCCTATCTTCCGCATTCAATGCTTTATAGATATGGTAAAAACTTCGTGGGCGTTTGGACATAAGAATTGTAAAATTCTAAAATAAAGTGGAAAAAAATTTCAAGTGAAAATGGTATTTGAAAATTAGCGTTGTGTTTGGAAATGAATATAATTTTGGGTTGTTTTTGAAGTTTTGTGAGTGATCTGAGTGAAAATTTTGAAAAACGGATTTTTGGAGTTTTTAAAATTTTCGAAAAATTCCAAAATGCATCTTCAAGTGAAAATTGAAAATTTTATGACTAAACGTTGATTTCGAAAAAAAGTGAAAAATTTTCAAAAAAAGGGACAAAATTTCTTATGTCCAAACGGGCTCTATCATGTCGGATGTTTTTATTTAATTAAATAATTAATCTTATAAAATCAACAAATCAAATTAAAAAAATATATTACTTAATTATGATTTAGTATTAAAAGGTGTATATACAAAATATTTATCTTATATTTATGGGTTTGGTATAATGGAGTGGGTAAAACAGTACTTATTATGGAATTGATTAACAATATTGCTAAAGCTCACGGGGGCGTATCCGTATTTGGCGGAGTGGGTGAACGTACTCGGGAAGGAAATGATCTTTACATGGAAATGAAAGAATCTGGAGTGATTAATGAAGAAAATATTGCAGAATCAAAAGTGGCCCTAGTTTACGGTCAGATGAATGAACCGCCGGGAGCTCGTATGAGAGTTGGTTTGACTGCCCTAACTATGGCGGAATATTTCCGAGATGTTAATGAACAAGACGTACTTCTATTTATTGACAATATCTTCCGTTTCGTCCAAGCAGGATCCGAAGTATCGGCCTTATTGGGTAGAATGCCTTCCGCTGTGGGTTATCAACCCACCCTGAGTACCGAAATGGGTTCTTTACAAGAAAGAATTACTTCTACCAAAGAAGGGTCCNGAAAAAAAGTGAAAAATTTTCAAAAAAAGGGACAAAATTTCTTATGTCCAAACGGGCTCTATCATGTCGGATGTTTTTATTTAATTAAATAATTAATCTTATAAAATCAACAAATCAAATTAAAAAAATATATTACTTAATTATGATTTAGTATTAAAAGGTGTATATACAAAATATTTATCTTATATTTATGGGTTTGGTATAAACACCTAATACGATTAAGAGCCCGTTTGGACATAGAAAAATTTTATTTTTTTCGAAAAATTTTTACCTTTTTTTCAAAATCCGCGTTTGTTCATAACTTTTTCAATTTCACTTGTAGATGCATTTTGGAATTTTTCGAAAATTTGAAAAACTCCAAAAAACTATTTTTTAAAATTTTTCACTCAGATCACTCACAAAACTTCAAAAATAACCCAAAATTATATTCATGTCCAAACACAACTCTAATTTTCAAATACCATTTTCACTTGAAATTTTTTTTCCTTTTTTTTGAAATTTTAGGATTATGTCCAAGTGCCCACTTAGTATTTACACTACAGAGTCTATAATTATTTCTCTCTTATGTAGTTTTTTTTCTTAGTTTTCCTGTTACTTTGTACCTTCATGGATGACATCGAAAAGCTCCAATTTCTTTGTACTAGCACAAGTAATTTAATAGCAATCTCAGACGTCTGATCAAGTATGACGTCATCACTTCAACCATCTTTTTTCCAAATCTTAGAGCTGAAAAAGGGTTTTTTTTTAATTAATTCGCACATGAGTTAAAGAATGTCTATCACAAGTGTGGAAGCCACATTTCAATTGGGCCCCTCTTTATATATATATATAATCTTATTCCTTTTTACTTAGAAGTAATAACTTTTTTTACAGATCTTTTTTTTTGGTCACATAATTGATAGGAAAATTTCAACTGGAGAATTATAATTCAGGTTCGCGATACTGAACTTATACGCGTTTTGCACAAAAAATTGCAAGTCTATTCACTTTTCGGATAACTTCAGACATACAGGCCCCAAGTAGCAAAAAATTATACAGTCAAACCTCTCTATAACAGCCACGTTTGTTCCGATATTTTTTGCTGTTATAGCGAAGTGTTGTTATAGAGGATATATATTATAACATAACATAAAAGATCGATTCCGAGAAACCTTGGCTTTTATAGTGAAATTTATATAAGGATGTTGTTATAGAGAGGTCTGACTGTATCTGAAGTTTGAACTTCAGAATTTTTGCTTGAAGTGCGACCTTATCAAAGCAAAACTTCATATATTTTCGCCTGAAGTTTGGCCTGACTTGCAAAGGCAATCGAAAATTTCAGTTCATAGTGCAAACTTCAGACAAATTAGTCTGAAGTTCTTCAATTTGTAGTAGAAACTTCAGACCGGCTTAAGAACTTCAGACTTGGAATTAACTTAAGAACAAAATCAAATTAAATAAAAGACCAAGAAAAAATTCTTGCTTATAAATATAAAAACCCACCAGTGTAAGGGACTCCAATCCAAGGCAGCCAGTAATTTCGCACTATGAAATTGGAGACAGTGAAATAAGATGCATCCAAGAAGTTAATCTCACCACGGTAATCAGGCCCTGTAACCCTATTATTGGTATCCGGTCCTAAATCTGTGTTCTTATTTCAGTATAATACGACGTACTTAATGCAAAACTCATACCCTAGTGCTAAATCACTGTGTCTTTCATATTCGATCAATAATACTTACACAGAGTCTCATGTGTTTGAGAGAGAGAAGAAGAAGAAGAAGAAGAAGAAGAAGAAGAAGAAGAAAGGAGGAAGAAAGGAGCGCATAGGTCGCGGGAAGAACAAGAGGAGGCGACGACTTGCTTGAAGTTGTAAAAATTAGGGTATAGGTTAAACAATTTTAAAAATATTGGTAAAGGTTAAATGGGGAGCGACCAAATAGGGCGCCCCATGTAATTTTTACTTTCTTTTTTGGTACATCTGTGTTCAAAATTTGCATTGAAACCTCGATTAATCTGAATATGTACTGCATAAGGTCCATTACAGAATAAAGTACTTCGTACTAAGAGTATTTTCCTTCTTAGGACTCGAACCTATAACTTTAATTTAAGGGTCAAGAATTTAATTCATCTCACCACAACCCTGGCGGTATAACGAGATATGCTATTAAATGCAAAAAGTTTTTAAACAATTTGAGATTCTTGAGCTTTTATCTAAGTCGACATTATATTTGTGTTCAAATGTTAATTTTAATATCTAAACAAAAAGAAGAGACCGTGTTTTGTTTCCATTTTGCATTTTTTTAATAAAAAGATATGGATAGAGCTTGGTCTATAAAAGAGGAAAGTAAGTAGTAAATACAACAACATAAAGGACAAAAATGGACAAATATTAAATAAAGTATTTCCGAAAATTACGTCAACTTTTGTTACCTAACAAAAGCAATTACCCCTCTACATAAATATATAAAACAAGTACATATGACATTTTGGCCCCCCAAATTTCATCTATTGTCCCATTTATGCCCTTAGGTGAATAGGATAACAATTCCAAGAAGATCATGTTAAACAAGATAAAGATTCAACTAATAAAAATTTTGTTTGTTTTTACCCTAAGCCTTCTCTAAAATTAATTTTTATTTCCTTATATATTCACACAATATATCTAACCATATAAAAAAACAAATTTTATAATAAAACCTAATAAAAATTTTGCCTTTGTTTCTTTGCCTTTTCTTTAACCATCAGTTTCTTCGATTTGTTGATCTACTTTGTCTGAAATGAGAAGCTGTTGAATCTTTGTTCTTTGAGCTCATTTGGGTCACTGATAAGTGGCTCATGGCTGAAGAATATCTATAGCGAAATTCAAGAGAGTGTAAAGTTGGGATTTTTATGAAATGGGGTTTTCTTGAAAAAGTGAAAGAATACATCAAATGATGAAGGCAAAAGTACAAATCTTGATAGAATTTTGTGAAGTGGGGTTTTTTGTTTTTGTGGGTTTTGTTTGATTTGTTTTTTGTGCATTTTGTTCACAATGAAATGAGTTTTCCTGAAAAAGTGTAAAAAATCAGATGGTGAAGTCACAAGTAAAAAAGATTGATTATTTATAGAATTTTGTGAAGTGGGGTTCTTGTTTTTTGAGGGGTTTTGTTTGATTTGTTGTGTGGATTTGATTATGGGTGGGTGTTTTCCTTGCTTTAGATCATCAAACAAGGAAAGTGGAAATGGTGTTAAAGAAGTTGTAAAAAAGGAGTCTTTTAAGGATGGTTCTGCTGCTCAATCTATCCATTTGAGCAAAGTTAATTCAGGTTTGTATTTGATTTTGCTTCTTTATTTCTGCTCTGCTTGCTTTTGGTTATGTTGAATTTTAGTTTTTTAGCTCTATTTTGAGTGTGGGTTTTCTTTTATAGACTTGATCTGAGTTTTTCTGATGGTGTTTGTGGTATTTTAGAAAAGGTTGTTACAGATTTGACTGGCTCTTTCATGAAATGAATTTGTTTCTTTTTAATTTGTTTTTCTTGTTTATTCTTAAGTAATGCTGATGGACATTTGAGAGATCTGTCAATTGTTTACTAATTCTTTTGCTCTATTAAATTGTTTGAAGAAGTTCAATTTTATAACCATGATATGACAGTTTCTTGACGGTCTACCTCCTGTCGATGACGAAGAATACATTATACTAGCTGAACAGGCTGCTAATGAGAATGCTTTGACTGTGAATGTGTTTAGGACTGGCCTATTCTGATGACTCTGTTTAGGAATTTGGATTCTTAAAATATAGCAGCGCCCGAAAGCTCGGCGGGGCTTCATAATTAATGCAGCATAATGTTCAATTTATATTTTATTTTTCTTCTAAAACTTAAATGTCAACGGAACATTCGCAGCTTGTCTTGTTTCTTTGTTTCTTTTTTCTTTTACTTCTTTTTGGTATTGGCTTGATGTTTATTTTTCATTAACAGATAAATCAAAGTCTCGCGGCAGTCATGATCCTAAGAAAGATCCAGCCATTCCAAAAGATGGACCAACAGCACATATAGCTGCACAGACGTTCACGTTTCGTGAGCTTGCTGCTGCAACAAAGAATTTTAGGCCAGAGTGTTTGCTTGGTGAAGGTGGTTTTGGGCGTGTTTACAAAGGTCGGCTGGAAAGTACAGGACAGGTAGGTCTTATTTGATAACAATATAATTCCATAGTGCAAAAGCAAATCATTAGCAATCTCTATGTTAGCTTATCAAATGTTAACACAGGGAAGATTATTAAAAAAAGGAATATGTTAGCATAGGAAGATTAAGTGCCAGAATCTCCAATTTTGCACTGACTTGCTATTCCACTATCGGTTATATCGTAATGGTCTGTTTGCAGGTGGTTGCTGTTAAACAGCTTGACCGCAATGGCCTTCAAGGGAATAGGGAGTTTCTGGTGGAAGTTCTGATGCTTAGCCTACTACATCATCCGAATCTCGTCAACCTGATTGGTTATTGCGCAGATGGGGACCAACGCCTCCTTGTTTACGAGTTTATGCCATTGGGTTCTCTGGAGGATCATTTACATGGTTAGAACATTTACTGCAATTTATATAGTGATCTGCACAGTGTCAATTTGTTTTATCATGAACTAGTTACTTATTGTCTAGAACACTGCCCCTTCTTCCTATAAAAAAGGGCATCCTGGTCCATTAAGCCATTAAGCTCCTGCTTTTTGTAAAAAGGCAGCCCGGTGCACTAAGCTCCCGCTATGCGCGGGGTCCGGGGAATGGCCGGACCACAAGGGTCTATTGTAAAGCTCCTGCTTTTTGTGTGGTACGAAAAAGGTCGGACGACATTGGATCTATTGTAATTGGCCTTACCTCGCATTTTGCAAGTGGCTGTTTTCACGGCTTGACCCGGTGACCCCCTGGTTACATGACAACTATTCTTACCGTTGCGTCAAGGCTCTCTTTCTCCCTAGTAAAAGTGTACAAAAAAAAAAGGAAAAAAAAAGAGGTTCACATGAAGACTTGATGACTTGGGTCTTGGAATGGGTTAGACTATTCAAGTTCATGTCCAAAGTGCTTGTGAAAGACTCATATCTGAATATAGGTTTAAGTAACACTAATACCAAGTTCAAATTTTGCTGAATGATTAAATCAATTAAGCATGATATGAACATGTAGTGGAGCATTTCACAAATTAACTGACCAAATCGAAGCAATTGTAACATTTCACAACAAATGTAATGAGATGAGATGCTGCTTGCTGATTTCTGTTCGTTATGGCTTTCTTTTTGTGTTTCTGCTTTTGTTTGTGTTCTTGGTTTTGTGGCATCCCCGCTCTTTCTTTCTGGGTCTTCTATTTTATACATAAACATTCCAATGAAGGGGTTGTAATATGGATAAAGCTGATGATAGTCGTACAGTTTACTTATAGATATGGTAGAGGACGCAATCTAATTGAGCAACGTTCGAGTATCACATGGAATTGTGGTTCCAATAAGAGTTGGCTATTGCACCGACATTGGACTATGCTCAGTTACTGGAACAGTTGGCTGTGCAAAGACATGGCTTAGGTGATTGTGCAATAAATAATATGGTGTTTAGACGTCAATGAGCAGCGATTAATCTTTATCGTTTAGAAATGTATTCTTTGGTCGAAGAGTTCTTGCATGTGGTGAAAATTATAACGGAAGTTAATGGAGTGAATTTAGAAGTTCTATTTGGCTTTGTCGCGCAATATGGTAACAGGCGTTAGCATTGCAATAGCTACCACTAGCATAGCGTCATTACTTAATTATATTCAGCAATTATATCTGTTACTGTGTTACATATAGTTGCTCTTTTGAACCGAGGATATTGCATATCTGGAGTTACTTGAGCTGAATCATCCTATACGCAATGAATTCATATGATTTGTGCATTTTTGTGGTTATTAGGTGCTCTTTTTGGAAAAAATGGTAACTGGATATTTTTTTTTATAAAGTTAAAATTTGATAGCTAAAAACCCGTTAACGTAGAGTATCAGTATATAAGATCCTTTGAAGAAGTAAAAAAAAAAGAAACATGTAAGATCTGACTCTCCCTTAACCTATTAAAAAAAGAGGGACGTTAACCACCTTATTACTTGCCCTCCAT